TGGGCTTATTTTGCTCCCATCGTACTTAAGGACCACATCCCAGAAAAAAATTCGAGCACCCAGAAAAATATCGAAACGGTGTCGAACGAATATCGCCTCCCAGGGCCCGACACGTGAAAACCCTCAAGTTGCGGTCTTTTCTCGGTGCTCGAAATTCTTTCTGGTGGCCAAAGCTAAAGTAGGTTGGAACATCATAACACTGGGCCCCCTCTAGCTCCCCGTCCCCACGGCCACTGCGTAGTCCTTTCGGCTCCTCGCTTGGTAAATTCCGAATCAATGAAAAACCGGGGCCTCATGAACCAAGACACGCTAGACCTGGACACCCAACATCCCTCGAACACATTCTTCCAGACGGCGGTACGAACAAGTACTGCACTGCAACATCTCCATAATCAACCTGGACACAGGCCCTAAAAGCCTGCAAGATCCCTCAAACCCGGACACGAACTCGAATCCTGCACCGCAGCAAACAAAAGATGCACGGGTGCTGGAAGATGTGACTTTGCAAGGAAAGGTGTCGCTTCCTTTTTGGAGTCCCGAAACGGTGCGGTGACAGACCGTGCGGAGACCTCGAACCCCCCCAAGACCTCACCGCACGGTCCGTCACCGCACGGTCTTGGGACCTCGGAGGCCCCAGTCGCCCGAGACGTCCTCGGAGAACGACCCGAGTCCCAAAACCGTGCGGTGACCCCGAATCCCCACCGACTCACCGCACGGTGTGGTCACCACCCCGTTTGGGGGCCCCCGAGCTGCGACGCCGGGTGAATGCTGTCACTCCAGGGGGGGGGGTCACCCAGGTGGGGCGGGCCCGTGGCTCTGCGGCCTGCGGCGGGTGGTCAGCCGGAGCGCTTCCCGAGGTGGTTTTTGGGCCTTGGTTTGAGCAGCCGCCCCGTGCTGGGGGCACACTTGTGGATCGAGTCACTCAAGTCATGTTAATGATAAGATCTGGGATTTAGAGAAGCGGCCCCGGAGTTAGACAATCCGTTTTTTGCATCAAATAAACAAGTTTTTGCGTTTACGAAATGACGTGTTGTCCTGTTTTGATTCGCCGGTGCAATTCAATGAATCTGTCTCTCGCTTTGGTAAATCATCGCATGTTCAATCATTTGTTTTAAGAATGCGCGCGTTCATTCATTACCATGACCTGTGTTAGCCGGTGGATACACACGAATGGCATTCTTCAATCGCAGTTCTTGACCCTCCGGGGTGACCGCCCAAGCGGGGCCTGCAGCTCGCCCATCCTCAGGGGTGGTCAGGGGAAGCTCTTCCTGAAGTAGTTGGGCCTTGGCTCAACCGCCTCGTGCCGGGGCTGTGAAGCCCCTCCCATGGGCCCCCCCACAACCACGCCCCCCCCCAACGGCGCGGGTCCTCTCCACGACTGTGATGTACGATCTCTGCGTGCCCTATTACCGAGATTCTTCAACGGGAACTCCTTCCCGGTGTGCCCCCCCGCAACCATCGCCCCTCACGGCGCGGGTCATCCCCGCGACGGTGCAGTACGCTTATTTATGTCACTGAGGTGCGCCCTACAACTGTGCAGTAAACAATGAAGCAAGTAACCCCAAGGTAGCCTTGTACAAAAGGTTCCTGCCTCCCCCCCATTCTGGCCACGGCGTTGTCCGATGTGCAACATGATGGGTGACAGGGGAACCTTCCAACCTTGGGGGTGACAAGGCGGACCTGCTCCCAGCTCCACATTCATTTTCGTCTGGGCCCCTGTGCCCCCTGCAACTGCTTACACGACGTCATGCATATGATCTCCAACCCTTCTCTGTCCCCCTGGCGTGGCTGGGTGATGACATTCGCCGCAGCCCACGCTCGGACTCTAACCTTTCTCTAACCCCCTCTGGCGTGGCTGGGACATCAAATTCTCCCCAGCCCACGCTCGGACTCCAACCCTTCTCTACCCCCTTGGCGTGGCTGGGGGATGGCATTCGCCCCGGCCCACGCTCGGACTCCAACCCTTCTCAAGTTCGCCCCAGCCCACGCTCGGACTCCAACCCTTCTCTAACCCCTGGGGAAATGGCCTTCACCCCAGCCCACGCTCGGAATCCAATCCTTCTCTGCCCTTGAGGGAAGGACCCATTAGGGGGAGGGGGAATCCCAATTGGGGGGCGGACGTTGCTGCATGTGCAGACCCTGGCAGTGACGCAATACTCTGCCCAAGGTGGAGGGCATGCTATTGCATTGCTTGCTGAGCTACGACGGACTGGGGAACTCTTACCATCAGCTGGTGCAGAATGGGGAAGGCATGCCCCCTCGCAGCCCTCGGGGAGTAGAAGTGGGGCAAGGGGGACCCACATCTGGATGCGAGGCCCAGCTGGGTGGCATGGACATTCGTTCGGAATGCGGTAGGCTGCCCCCGCGCAGTCTTTGATCAAGGGGCTGGGGACGGCTCTCCCCGCACAGCCCTCGCAGGCTCACCCCCGCCCTGCCCTCGTACTGGTCGACCTGCTGAGAGGGGCTGCCAGCGTGCCCCAATGAGCCTTTCCTTGTCGTGGCCGGTGGCTGGTGTCGACTTCCTTTGGGAGGGCCATGCCCGGCCTGCCTGAAGGCGAAAGAGGGTCCCCGACTCCTAACTGTTGCGCCCTGACAGTCCTCAATCGTTCCCAAACACCGTTTCTGGTACGTTAACCATGAGAAGCCGATGAACTCTTGCAGCTTGTTGAAACGAATGTGCGCGGCGCTGAGGCGAGAACCGCATTTGAGCAACAACAACCCTCCACCCGTGAAACTTTTGCGAATGTCTGCAACGAGTGTGCGCGGCGCTGAAACAAGAACCGCACTTCGAAAACGACCCGCCCACAATCCGTGAAACTCTTGCGAATGTTGAAAAATCATGTGCGCGGAACTATGGCGAAAACAGCATTTTGAAAACGACCCGCCCTCAATCCGTGAAGTTCTTGCGAATGGTAAGAAGGAATGTGCGCGGCACTACATCGATAACACATTTTGAAAACGGCCTGCCCTCACATCCGTAGAGCTCTGGCACATTTTTCGAACAAACTGTGCGCTGCGCTAATGCGAACACCACATTCTGAAAACCACCCGCCCTCAATCCGTGAAACTCTTGCAGATGTCTAACACGACTGTGCGCGGCGCTAAGGCGAGAAACACGCTTTGAAAGCCACCCGCCCTCCATCTATGAAGCTTTTGTAAGTTTGAAGCTTCATGCTCATAAGTGGTGAAGACGTATCTGGCGAAACGCCCAGCCCGCCCTTCCGGCTGGCCTCGGGGTGCGACAGGGGAGAAATCAGAAGCAAAAGCGGCGGAAAGGGATAGGACGGGGAGGAAGTCGGATCCCACAACGCCTCCTGTGACTGCACCAGGGCCGAGGCCGGGATCCCTGGGGGCGGGCCCTCGGCCTTCGGTGAGCTCATTCATTGCCGCCATCCCGTTGCATGCATGCCGTCGCAGACAGTTGGCCGAGGAGCGCTCCAGCGGGAGCGCGACACGTCCCGTGCACCAGGAGGCTGACGCAGCTCTCCCTCGCATCATCCAGGGCCGAAGCGGCCACGAGGCGGGAGCCCACAGGGAGCCGGGTCGGGGGCCACCCGCGGGGGCCAGCACGAGTGCGCGCGGCGCCAAGGCGAGAGCCGCACCTGGAAAGCGGCCCTCCCTCCATCCACGTGCCCAGTGGCAGCCTTTAGAAGGAATGTGCGCGGTGCCGAAGACGAGGGCCGCATGGTGAAACCAGTTCGCCCTCCATCATTGTAACAACTGAGGCCAGGACCCCAGGGTGTGAGGAGGCCTGGTGCGACACGCCCAGCCAGAACGACGGCCACGACCAACGAACGACGACGAACGACCGACCGACGACGAACGACCACGGACGTCGACGACTGACGACGGACGACGAACGACCGACCGACTGACCGACTGACCGACGACGACGACGACCGACGAATGACGAACGACGACTGACGAACGACGACGCACAACCGAACCACGACGAACGACGCCCGACGACGCCCGACGACGAAAGACGACCGACGAGCCTCCAGCAGCCACGGCCACGGCTCCCCGCCGTCTGCGCCGCCCCCCACGATCACGTCCAGGCCCAACACCTTCGGCACCCGCAGCGGCGCCGCCCAGCCCGCCTCCGCCACCTCTCCGACCGGCGTCTCGAGCGCCTCGCGGCGACCGGCGTCGGAAAGCGGGGGACCGGAGACTGCTACAAGGTTGGGGGGCAACTCCTGGGAGGTCTGCGCAACAATGGCTACGAACTGTAAGCTCGATGGAGGGGCCATTACGCTGGAATCTGCCTGGATCAAGCCCAGGATCAAGCCCAGGATGAAGCCAGATTAAGCCAGATTGCGCGGAAGTGAAAAGCAGAGCCGTCGGCGACGGCGTAATTAGGCGAAGGTTAGCCCCAGCATGCAGCTGCCCGGCCCGCGCCGTGAGCCACGGCCCGCACGACGCCGGACGCCGTCAAGGGCTGAGGCGACCAGGCAGGCGCAGGCTACGGCCTTGGAGAGGGCGGAGACGATGGCGTGGGCAAAGCCGCCGGCGGGCGGCGCGTGGGCAGGGAAAGGGATGGGGTGGGAGGGCCCGGGTGCGAGGGGCGGCGACGAAGGCGAGAACGCCAGCGGTGGCGGAGGCGATGGCCTAAGACTCTAAGAGACGGCGGGGAGGCGATGACGTGGGCGTGGGCGTAGGCGACGGCGTTGGCGTTGGCGAGGGCGGAGGCGATGGCGTAGGCAAAGCCGCCGGCGCCGGCGCAGGCGAGGGCGAAGGCGAGCCCCGGCCAGCAGCTGCCCGGCCCGCGGGGGTGCGAGGGGCGGCGCCGAAAGCGAGACCGCTGGCGAGGGCGGAGGCGGAGGCGCTGGCGCCGGCAGAGCCGCTGGCAACGGCGTGGGGCGCAGGCGGAGGCGATGGCGCGGGCGAGGGCGAGCCCCGGCCAGCACCTGCCCGGCCCGCGGCGGCGAGGCACGGCGCCCGCAGGCACGCTGAAACGGCGCGGGGGCGGCGAGAGGGGTGGGGGTGAGGGCCCCGCCGCCCGCCGCAACTCCTGCCGTGGCTCGGACGTCCAGTTCCCGTGCCTTTCTCGGTTTCGTGCGTGGTTTTTTTGTTCGATGGCTCAGGATGGCCCTCGATGGTTCTCGGGTTCTCGCCGAGAAACAATGCACACGTCCGAGCGATGCCAAGAACTTGGGATTCGTTTGAGCTTTTGCGCTCGTTTGGGCTGCTTCCGTCTTTGGGCCAGTTGGCCCCGCCTTCGGGCTTCTTGACATATGCTCTGGCTACGATAAGGATGCCTCCCCCTGCCTCTCCAAGGCTGGGGGGGGGGAGGGGACCGACGACAGCGTCGCACTGGGGGCAATCCCACCCCCTCCGGGTGAATCCCGGGCTTGCTCCAGCCCCGTCCGGCCCAGTGGCCCCTCAACAATCATGGGGCCTCGTGGCCGGGAAGTACTCGTTCTGACGAAGGCCTCCCAAGAGCTGCCTCCTCACGAGGAGGGGGGTCCTGGCGGCATCTCGATCGACGACGACGCCCACTGGCGGCGCGCACACGGGGGTAATTGGGGAGAGGGGGGAAGGCTACTTAGAAGGAGGCTGCTCCTTAGAAGGCGTTGGCTCTACGTCTGCAGACAAGGCCCGCGCCTTCTCAAAGGCAGCCTCCCTCTAAGACGCCTTCCCCCCTTCCCCTAGCCCCCCTCGATGCATCGGCGACGTCGGCGTTGAGAAAACCAGACTCCGCACTCAGACCCTCTACATCATTTGTTCTTGTTATTCATTTTTTAAAAACGTCGACCCCCAAAGGTGTCGACCCACTCCCCAGGACTGGCTTTGCATCCCGAGCCGTTTTTTAGCGGCCACGAGGCCTGGTAAGGGCTCCCGGAGGCAGACAATAACAGCAGAAACGCCCCGCTTCCCTGAGATCCGATGTAGCGAAAAATTGCAACATCTTCAAACATCACGCCTGGAGCCCTACAGCCTATCTTTCTGCGTCACTCTTTTCGAGCCGCATCGATCTGTAAGGGTCCCGGGGCCCGAAACCAGGCGAAAACACGCCTGGCTCGAAACATTCGAGACGCCAGGATCTGCGGGCTTGTGCGCGTGGCCGAGGATGGGGGAACAAACTCTATACACCGACGGTGTTTTCGGCCCTGCCGATTAACCGTTCCTCGGAGTCCGCAGGGTTGTCAAATCCATCGAATCAGCCCGTATAAAAAAGGACGCATGAGGATGTTCCAGTTTCCGAAAAACTCGGCTACACGCATTGGTGACCTTAGGCAAGAGTGACCTTGAGTGCGTGGCCAGGGGTTGGCCCTTTGGGAACACCCGCAGGCGCGCAAGCCGCTGCTATCGCATCACATTCAACGATCGGGGGGCCCATTGGGCCCGTACCGAAGGCCACCCTGGCGAAAGGTCACTCTTACTTAGCATCGTTTAGCCGATCCCCATCCCCATCGGCGTGGGCTGGGCCCCACTGGCCGATCTGCCCCCCTTAGATGGGGATACTATATATATATATATGTATATATATATATGTGATTATATACATATCTCTCTCTATATACATATATATATATATATATATATATATATGTAGGCTGCTCCCTTCGGGCTTCGAGGGGTGCAGCCCCGAGTGTGGTGGCAACTTGGTGGGGGCCTCGACGGGGATGAGTTTCGTCATGGGGGTCGGTTCCCCGATCCCGACTCGCGCGTAGTCGAGTGAAGTCAAGCGGCGGCCTCCCACAGCGGCCCGTGGGCCAGCAGCGCCGCCAGCCGGCGCAGCCGGCGCCGCAGCGCGGCGGGGGCGCCGGCCCCGCGCCGCGCCGCGAGGTGCCGCCAGAGCCACTCCTCGGGGGGCGGGCCCCGAGGGGCAGCGGGCGGGGGGGGGAGGAGGAGGAGGGAGGGGGAGGAGGAGGAGGAGGAGGAGGAGGAGGAGGAGGGAGGAGGAGGAGGAGGGAGGAGGAGGAGGAGGAGAGGCGGAGGAGAGGAGGAGGAGGAGGCGGAGGAAGGGGGGGTGGAAGGGGAGGAACGAGCGAAAGCCCGAAAATGGGTCAGCGCCTCAGCGGGAGCAGCATTTTGAAGAAAACCCGAGCGAAAACCAACTCCTGGGAATCCTGTGGAGAAAACACTACGCGGAGGGTGGCCAGACATCTTTCGGACGTCATCAGAGGGAAGTGGAGAGTAGTACTCATATTGTGTAATTGTGGAGGGGTGTGTGGGGAGGGTGGGGGGAGGGGCAAGCTAGGTGCGCTCGCGTCATACATACCTGACGTCCCACCCCTCCCTCCCACCCCCTACCATGGCGTAAGTCTCCTCTCTATTCGCACAGTCGGATGTCGTAGCATGGCATAGCATTACATGGCGTAGCATGGTGTTGAAGATCAACGCGTAGCATGACATAACATGGCGTGGCGACGCCCGAAAGTGGTGGGGGGGGGCTTCTGTTGCCTCAAAAATCAACGAATCGGCACCGAAGTTGTAATCACTTCCGATGGCTTTTCCGGGGGGGAGGGGGGCATTTTGTAGATTTTGAGGCCTATTTGGAAGGACCGAAAACCATGCTGTGGCACGGCATTGGAAATAACGCCAACTTTTCAGCGGGAGCACGATTCGGAACGAGCGGAAGCGCGGAAACGAGGCCAGCGCTGCAGCGGGAGCACGATTCAGAACGAGCGGAGGCGCAAAAACGAGGCCAGCGTTGCAACGGGAACACGATTCGGAACGAGCGGAGGCCCGCTTCAGCGGGAGCAGCATTTTGAAACAAAAACTAAGCGAAAACCCAGTTCCCGGGAGTCCTGTGCAAAAAACAATTCGCGGATGGGGGCTGGATATCTTCAGGACGTCATCCGGGGAGAGAGGATCTGTGTAATTGTGGAGGGGAGGGGGGGGGGGAGGTGGGGGAGGGGGAAGGGGAGGGGGGCTCGCGTCGGTTCTGGTCTTGACTTGTCCTCCTCCTTCTCTCTCCTCCTCCTCCTCCTCCTCCTCCTCCTCCTCCCCTCCTCCTCCTCCTCCTCCTCCTCCTCCTCCTCCTCCTCCTCCTCCTCCTCCTCCATCCTCCGCCTCCTCCTCCTCCTCCCTCCTCCTCCTCCTCCTCCTCCTCCTCCTCCTCCTCCTCCATACTCCTCCTCCCACCTCCTCGTCGTCCTCCTCCTCCTCCTCCTCCTACGCCTCCTCCTCCCTTATCCTCCCACCTCCTCCTCCTCCGCCCTCCTCCTCCTCCCTCCTTCCTCCTCATCCTCCTTCCTCCGCCCTCGGGACTCCCTCCTCCTTCCTCCTCCCTCCTCTTCCTCCTCCTCCTCCTCCGCCTCCCAAGGTCAGATCCTCCACCCCCTCCCGCTCTTCCCTCCATCCTCGGACCTCCGACGCCACGACCTCGTCGTGACGCCCTGCCCGGGGCCGGCCCCTCCTCCCTCGCAGTTCTGGCCCGGGAAGGGGCGGGCAGGGGAGAGGGGAGAGGAGAGGGATGTCAGCTGGGTGGGCTCGGAGAGGAGGGGGGCGAGGGAGGGAGGAGCGAGGAGGGGTACAAGCTGGATGCGCAAGGAGAGGAGGGGGGGGGGTAGGGGAGAGGGGATATGAGAGGGATGTCAGCTGGGTGGACTCGGAGAGGAGGGGGGAGGGAGGGAGGAGCGAGGGGGGAGACGAGATGGGTGCGCTCGAAAGGGAGAGGAGAGGGGGGAGGGAGGAGCGACGAGGGAGACAAGCTGGGAGCGCTCGGAGAGGAGGGGGGAGGGGGGGAGAGAGGAGGGGAGAGGGGGAGAGGAGAAGGACAAGCGAGGCGCGTTCGCGCCGCATCCGGCCCCTCCCACCCATCCCTTCCCATTGCGCTGTTTTGTTACTCTACCCGCCGACGCGTGTTATAGCGGACCTGGAACTCCAAAGAGGGTCCCATCGTGTCATGCACAATCGGGAACAAAAAGGAGCTGCGTACATTAGAGGGGGAGGTGGCGGATGAGCAGGAGATGAGGAAGACGGGAAACGAGGACGAACAGCAGCAGCAACAGCTGGAGGGAAGGCGGAGGAGGGGAAATGAGGGGTGGGGGCAACGATTAAAAAAGAACTCGCATCCAGAAAATTGGCCCGCGCTGGGGCGAGAGCGCGATTCTGGGCAACGGGGGCAAACGACTGATCCGAACATGAGGCCCAAGCTGCAGCGGGAACAGTATTCGGAAACAGCGGAAACAATAGGATTGTAACACCAACCATACGAACAACCAACTGTTGACATCCTGTGTGACAAAAACAGTGTGCGGAAAGGCCTGGCGAAGTCCAGGCCGGAGTCATGGGAGAGAGAGGAGAGAAGTACCCGTCGGTCGGAAGCAGTGGCCAGAAACATGACGTAGGAAGGCCTTGGCAGTAGATTTGGGTCTCCGCCCGCCCCCATGAGGAGGAGGGAGGAGGGCCAACCGCTCGACCCTTGAAGCAGGAGGGCGCCTGAAGTAGACTGGGATCTGGATGCCCAAAAGTGCATGCATCCAACGACCGGCGTGTGCTCATGATGTGCACAGTCGGGGCACTGACCCAAGGGACCCGAAATAAGGAAGGAGGCCCCTTTTTCCAAAACGTTGAACTTCGATTTCCCGTGGGAAACCTCAGGGAAACCTAATGCAAACTGCACAACAATCAAGTCAAGGAACACCGAGCCCCTCCCCAACGAGAAGGGTTCCTTCTTCAGCGCCCCGACTGTAAGTGTGGAGGGACGAGGGAGGGACGAGGGAGGGAGAGAGGAGGGAGGAAGGAGAGGCGGTGGCGGCGGTCTCATCACGGGCGCGTGTGTCAGCTCTTGCCTCGTCTCCTTACGAAACATCGGCGGCGAGCGAGGGGGGGAAAGTGAGAAGGCGGAAGCCCTCTCAGAAAACGGCGGGGCGTCTCGGACCCCCCCGCGCGCCCTTCTGAGAACTGTTTCCCGTGTCTTCGGGGAGCGGCTTCGAAAATCTCTCAAAAGACCGCAGACCGGGGGACTTTCGAGCCTTCTTCGAAGAAGAGAACAACGCCATACACATAAACTGTTGAGTCTCCGCGCGGATTTCTGGGATCTGCGCTGGATCCCCCTCCCCGGCGCGCGGAGCGCGCCAGGGGCGGCGCCGGAGGCGGCGCCTGGGGGGGGGGCCCAGCGCGGATCCAAGAACTCCGCGCAGAGCGCCAACAAGTTTATGTTCGTGGCGCTTTTCCTTCGGACATCGGGCCTCCCGAGGCGGCCCGCGCGTGACCCGCGCCGCTCCGCAGGAGGCGCTCGCGGAGGCTGACGCGGAGCATGGCCGCCTATTTCTCGGAGGCGCGGGGCGGATGTCCAGTCCAAGTGAGTGGTGGGTCCCTCCGCGGAGGCCCCGTGGAATATCTTCAGGCGTTCCACGACCGCGAGCTGGCAAGTGCTTCCCGATGGCGTGTCCAGATTGCCCCAGGCTTGCTGGCCCATCGGGCCAGCGGCGCGTTCGATCCGCCAGGCAAGTTGATTTAGAATGGCGGACTTGTTATTTTTCTTGTTCGCGCGTGCGAGGGTGCCCCTTGTGACTGTGAGGAGAACAGTGATCGTATTGGGTGGACGATGACGGGTATGAACAATACCATCCGAATGCAATGATCGATGCCTTCGGCCGCCTACGGGTAAGGACATCCTCACTTCTCCCAGCCCCACCCAGCCCGATAGTTGTCTTCCCGACCCTGGGGATCCGCGTGCCTCACTGGCGCCCCGAGGTCGCCCCAAGAGGGCTCCCCAGGATCGCCCGAAGAGCGCAGGCCAGTGGGTACAGGGCATCGCCCTGGCGTGGCCCTTGACAATGCTGCTAGGAGGGCCCCAGGATGGCCCACGCGAACCTCCATAAGTCTGTAGACCCCCCCAATATGATACAACCAGTTACTTTTCGGCGGCCTTGTTGAAAGGACGGGGGTCCCACCAGCACGGGGTAACTTTTTTTTGTCCTGGGGCACCCGCCGCGCAACAACGACGACGGCACGAGGAGGAGCGGGAGGAGGACGAGGAGGAAGATGGGCAGGAGGAGCAGGAGGAAGAGATGGAGGATGGGGAGCGGGGGAAGGATGACGATGTTTTAGGACTGGTCCTTTTCACCGCCGAGTGAAAAAGGGGGAGCTCAAAACTAAAGATTTATAGAGGTTAGCCTGACGGACACCACGACTGCCCCAGATCGCCGAATAATCGTTCCTCGGAGATCCTCCGAGATCGACGACCCACTCTCGCCCCTTCTCGCAATGGCGCTGTGCCCGCACGCCGTCATCCCAGCGTTGAAGCTGACGGCATCGAGCTTGCGTTTCGCCTCGAACCCTGCGGATTGATGACTGAGGCTGCTGCCGCTGCTCTGCCTCCTCGCACGCGCGAACTGGCCCCGTTGGCCCGCTCGGGCCCCTTGTCACATGAACTCATCCCAACGCTGTAGCTGAGAAGTAGTTCGCACGAACTGTTCGCAGCGTTGTAGCTGATGTGTCGCCCGCTCCACGCCTTTGGGCTCCAGCTTTGCCCCCCGCGTCCCGCATAATGACGCCTGAGCCGCCTGCCGCCCTTCGCCCTCGCACGCCCCGATCCCAGCGCCGCAGCTGACGACGTCGGGCCTGCGTTCGGCCTTGAACCTCGCGGGTTGGCGGCCGAGGCTGCTGCCACTGTTCAGCCTCTTCGCGCGCGCGAGCTGGTGCCCGCCCCGCGGCTGGTGACGTTGGCCCCACGCGGGCTCTCACGCGGCTCGCCGGGGGGGGGGGGGGGCGCCAGTCGCCGCCGCTCTCTGCCTGAACTCTTGCAGCGGCGATCCTGCGGCTGGCGCTGCTGCTCGCCACGGTGACGAGGGGGTGGGGAGGGAGGGGCAGGAGGAGGGGCGGGATGGGGGCGCGGGTCCTGGCGACTGCACGTGTGCCTGGTCTCAGCAGGGTAGGTGATGACGTTTGGCTCCACGTTGCTGAATCACGACTTCCAAACGCATGGCCACTTCGAAATTCCTCGCGCGCCCCGTGCAGGGGGGGCCACTTGGGCGCGTCATGGTCGCGTCATGGTGAGGAGGAGGAATGGTGAGAAGGAGGAGGATGAGGAGGAGGAGGAGGAGAGAGGAGGAGGAGGAGGAGAGCAGAGGGCAGGAGGAAAAGGAGGAGGAGGAGGAGGATGAGGAGGAGGAGGAGAGGAGGAGAGGAGGAGGAGGAGGAGGGGAGGAGGAGGAGGAGGAGGAGGAGGAGGAGTAGGGAGTACCCCCCCCCCCGACCCAGGCAATGCCAAGAGGGGTCGCCACCATGGGGGGCCGCCACTTCCTCTGGGAAACGCCTCTTGCTCGAGGCAGCGGGGCCAGAGGTAGGACTCCAGGGCCCCCAAACGTGTGAACACTGGCGGCGCGCACAGGGGTGTGGGGGGTGGGGGGGCAGGCTTCTTTGAAGGAGGCTGCTCCTTCGAAGGCGCTGGCCGTATCTACATATGCAGGGCGTGCGACTTGTAGGGAGCAGCCTTCTTCTAAGCAGCCTTCATCCCTCCCCTTACCCCTCTCTGCGCGCCGCCAATCGATCCTGGAACCTCGATCCTCAGGAGGAGCTGGCGACCCCTTCCGGTCGGGAACTTTTGCCTCGCGTGTCGCTGCGGCGGCGGGAGGCCGGGAAAAGTCGAGACGTTGACACTGGGGGCCTGGGACGTGGATAGCGCGTCGCGCCGGAGCGCGGCGGGCCAGAACCGACGGACTACGACTCGCTAAGCCAAAATTCCCAACCGTGGTCGGCTACGCGCATGAGTGACCCGCGGCAAGAGTGACCTGTGGTGCGCGGCTTCACGGGGGACGCGGGGTGGCCAAACCTGGGCACGCAGGCCGCCGCTGCCGCTTCGCGCTCAGCGATCGGGGGACCCCCTTGGGCCCGCACTGGAAGGCCAGTCACTCTGGCGAAAGCTCGCTCTTACGCCTCGTCGACGTCATGGCGACCCCCCCTTGGCACTGCCCGACCCAGCCCCGGCGCGCGGCGTCTCCAGGTCAGGGCACGCCTCCGCGCCGGCGGCCGTGGACGAGCCGCGGGAGCGGAGGGCCGCCTCTTGCTGGGTTGGTTCGGGGGGGGGGGGGGGGCAGAAAAGAGGGGAAGGAGGAGGCGGAGGAGGAGGAGGAGGCGGAGGAGGACGAGGATGATGAGGGATGAGGAAAGGGTGGACGAGGATGACGAGGATGAGGAGGAGGAGAAGGATGTGGACGGAGGAAGGAGAGAGAAGGAACGAGAGGAGAGGAGGGTAATTTGAGGCTGGGAGGAGACAAGAAGGATGAGGATTAGGATGAGGGCTTGGGAGGAAGCGGAGGAGGAGGGTGAGGAGGAGGGTAATCTTGATGATGAAGAGGTGGTGCAGGCGAATGAGGACGAGCAACGTGAGGGTGAAGGGGAAGAACAATTTGAAGAGGGAGTGAGGGGGGAGGTAGTGTCTCCTCCTCCAGGTTAGGAGGCAACTACTGGGAGGTCTGCGTCGTAAGGATTCAAAAAGATTGAACCCCATTTGGGGGGCCGCGGATTAAGCGCGATAAAGCCGGATTAAGCGGGATAACGCCATATGAAAAGGGATTAAGCCGGATTTTGGACCCCAGCAAGATCAGAATTTGACCTCCCAGGAGATGCATCCTGGTCCTTTGGAATGGGGAGGGGGGGGATGAGAACGGTCGAGGATGTCAGGTCCTTGTCTCTTTGTTGTTCTTGCTGGCCCTGCAGAGGAGATCTCGGGTGACCTCTGTGGGACGGGGCCTCAGGGAAGTTCGACCTCGGGAAATGGGGCAGGATGGACACCGGGCCCCAGGAGCGCTCGGGTTACCCCTCTTGAGCGGTGTTGGCCCAGGGCGCGGGCGATGGTTGGAACCGACAAGTTGTGCAGGTCCACCTCCTTCCTCCTTGCTCGCCCGTCCTCCTCTCATTGCCGTCCCCCCTCTCCTGGGAGGGAGGGGGGGAAGAGCGAGGCGGACCAGTCTAGTTGTCTTCCTTCGTGAGGGGGAGGGAGCCCTACCGAGGAGGCAGGACAGGCTCTCGTGTAGGGTCTGGAGGCTCCCAAGCAGGGCCCTCAGACGGCGGGAGGGCCGCAAGAAGCCCATCGGCCCTCTGGAACAAAAAGGAAGGCAGAGCCCCCCCCCTCTCATACTTGGCACCCAGACAAGCGAAAGCTTGCAGAACTCGCGCGCAGGTGTAAGGACTCGGGCGGGGCTGTCTTCGGTCAACTCGCGTCCTCCACGCACCGAGGCCCCAACGACGCGGTGCCACTGATTTAGAGGCGCGACTATGGAGCCGGCAAGCTGTCCTGCCGCGGGGCCGTCATCGCCCCTTCCTCCCGTGTGAAGTGAAGACGCTGGCGCGGACGAGGGGGGAAGGAAGGAGGACGACACCACAGTCTGCCCCGATTTTAGCGCGCCGACCAGCCTGCAGCAAGCGGAGCCGAGGCGCGTGGCCAAGGACCCGGGGACATGGACAGGGGCGCACGTGAAGAGCTGTGCAGCCCCCGTGGGCAACGGGCCAGAGTCAGAACATCCAGCACGAGAGAAACGGTGTGACGGAGGAAGGGGGGGGGGCAACTGGAGGAGACGGGCAGAGTCAGGCGCGCGGGTGGGGCGCGGAGTACATACTTGTACATCGCACCGCTCCAGGTCTGAACCGCCTGCGCACGAGGGGCATCGCAGGGATGGGAACCGGGACCTGCGCTTCTCACAACACAGACGGACGCACCAGGAGGCCCAATGAGCACAGCAGGAGGAGCTAGGGGGAGGAGGAGGAGGAGGAGGAGGAGGAGGAGGAGGAGGAGGAGGAGGAGGAGGAGGAGGAGGTAACAACTCGGCCGCAACTCGGGCCGCACCTCGGGCCGCAACTCGGGCGCGGGCGCTTACCGACCCACCTGCGCATGCGACTCGAAGCCGCACGCGGGGCGGCCGAGGCGGAGGCAAAAACGGCGAGCCCCGGGGCAGTGCCCGGGGTCGGCCGCCTGCGGCGCCCCACGGGCCACGCGCACGGCACGCGCGCACGGTGGAGTCTCCGCCCGGCGAGCTCGGGGGGGGAAGAGGAGGCGAAGGACGCAACGACGACGACGAAGGAAGGAGGGATGGGGGGGGGAAGGCGGGGAGGAGGACCGCCCCCGCCGAGCGCAGCTCTGCACCCCATGCTCTCCAGGCGAGGTCCCCACAGAGTCCACGGCGGAGCACCGCAGGAGGAAGGCGGGGGGGAGGGGGGGAGGACAACGGCGAGGAGGAAGGGGGAAGGAGGACAGAAGGAAAGCTCCCGCCGAGCGTCGAGCTGAACCACGCGCCGTCCAGGCGGGCTCGGCAGCACGGCGCGGCGAACCGACGCAGGAGGAGAGAGGACGGGGGGAAGACGGACAGCGAAGAGGGAGGAAACGACTCCTGAACACGCGGGTGGCGTGCACATGGGGCCCTCCAGCTGCCGCGGCCGCGCTGCCGCCGGAGCAGCACAAAGACAAGCCAGCAGCGGTCGCCGAGGGCACGCGCGGCCGCGGACAAGCCCGCGGCACGGACGGGCGAAGCGCCTCGCGCGCTGCGGCCCCGGCAGAGGGCGGCGCCGAGCCGCGCGAGGCGGCGCGCTCTGAGCACCGCGCGCTGTGCGCGGTGCCTCGCGCCCCGTGGGCAGGCGCAGACTCGACCTGCCGGGGCGAAGCGCCCAGCAGGAAGCAGCAGCACCCCGGCCCGGCGGGCGGCCGGGCGAGCCCGAGGCCCGCCCCCGCAAGCCGCCGTGCCGCAGGGCGGGGCGCACGGTGCTCGATCTCCTCTGGCGCGGGCGGGGGCCGCAGGCTGTGCCGCGGACGCCTGCGCTGAGCATCTTGGGAGCCGGTGGCGCCACCCAGCCGTTCCACATGTGGCGCGCCAGGCGGCCGACACCGCGCCCTGGGGCGGTGACAGCCGGCGCAGCACAAGGAGGAGGAGGAGGAGGAGGAGGAGGAGGAGGAGGAGGAGGAGGAGGAGGAGGAGGCGGAGGAGGAGGAGGAGGAGGAGGAGGAGGAGGAGGAGGAGGAGGAGGAGGGGGGGGAAGAGGATTTTTTTTGAGCTTGACGCCCAATTCCTCTGCAGGCCTGCTAGCAGCAGGCTCCACCTCGTGCCGCAGTACAGGGCAGTGCGGCAGAGCGACGGGAAACATGAGCGGCCCACCGCCGTCCCTGTTGAAAAGGGCTGGGCCGCTTGGCGAACATCAGATCAAGCGTTAAAGCAAGGGTTCGTTTCAACCGTGACGCCAAGCTTCTGTTAGGGAGCCCACAAATGACGTACGCGCCCAACTATGTACATGAACGCGGCCCCTCGACCCGCCAGACCGGCCGCGTGATACGAACGGTCGCGCAATGCGACCTCTCGAAACTATCGTGTATTCATGTACGTGTACGTCCTTCTTTCGCTCCTGATCTGTTTGCTATAGTGCGGATGGCGGCCCTTGCCCAAAGCCTCCCGCCCATGGCGGCCAGCCCGGGAGGGAGGGGGAGAACGGCGCGCCCTGGGTCCCCGAACCGAGGCCCCCACGCGAATGGCACTCGCACCGCGTGCGAATGAACAGGGCCGAGGCGTCCGAGCAAACAGACGCAAGTCGTGCGACGTTCGAGCAAATCCTGCCTGGCAGCGTGGAGCTTCGAAAAACTCAGAGCACCTGCCTGGCGCGGGGCGCTTCGGAGCTCGTGAGCCTCGCAGGCTGACGGCACAACGCCAGATGCTGGACCAACGCGTCCATCGATGGCCAAATCCCTGGGCAACAGGAAGGTGGGGAACCCGCTCAGCCGAAGACAAATCGATGTATGTCAAAAGATGGAGCAAGTTTGCGGCGAACGAACAAGTGGCACGAGCTTGCTCGACAAGCGTGAACACCGCGTCCACTTTGTCGGGGTCCCTCGGGTGGAGATCGACAACCAACTTCGCACTGATGTCGGCGTGATGATTGCCCATGCGCTTCCAGCGCTCGGATCCGTCAATCCCGGCCTCATCGATATCACGATGGGCGGCGACCTGAAAACACTGTGTGCGGAAATCAGCAGGAAGGCACCCGAGTAAACTCGCTTGCCCGACAACTGCTCACCCCTGGGACGACACGCTCGATTGACCACATGTTCGCAGTCCGAGAAAACATAACTACGAACCGATGCCAAAACATTCGCCCAAGTGAAACAGCTAAACTCCGCACTCGGAGGGGTCTGGGGATACGGAGTCCAGACAGGAGCACGGAATTCCGCGATGCGCTCACCAGCATCGTCTACCATGATGGCGCTACTGGCAGCTCTACTGAGCTCCCGAATGGGATGCCTGGCGCACGAACCATCCACGAAGAGGCTTCCCCACAACTCTCTGCCAGGCCGCTGCCATTTTGCTTTCACCATGTCTTCACGGTGCATTTCGCATCGTCGACGACAGGACAGTCCGTGTTGAGAGGAAAACCGGACACGTTGCATGGTTTTTTGGACAGTCCGGATGGGAGGGCCCTGGATTGACGTCCGCGCGCGATGTGCGCCGCGTCCCATTCCTGCCACGCATTCCGCATCGTCGACGACAAGACAAGCAATTTTGAGAGGAACAACGCAGACTTTGTATGGATTTGTTTCAATCATGCGTGGGGTTGCTACCAGCCGGACAGAGGGGGGAGCAAGAGTACATTCTAATAAGGAATAAGGATCGAAGGAGGAGGAAAAAGAAAAAGAGAAGGAGGAACAGGAGGAGGAGGAGCATGAGGAGGAGGAGGAGGAGAAGGAGGAGCAGGAGGAGGAGGAAGAGGAGGGGGAGGAGAGGAGGAGGAGGCGGTGGAGGATGAGGAGGAGGTGGAGGAGGAGGAGGAGAGAAGGAGGAGGAGAAGGATGAGGAGGGGTGAGTGTGGTAGGGGACCACTAAGAGGATCATGAGAAGTTGACGTCCTCGTCATCCACCACCTCCTCCTCGTCATCGTGGCCATCATCCTTGTCGTCGTCGTCCTCTTCCTCGTCCAGAGAAAAATCAAAGTCGTTGAGACTCTACGCCGCGCCGAAGAGCTCCTTGTCCTCGCCTTCGTCCCCCTTCTCGCCCCTGGCCCTGGAAAACCCATCTCTCCTCCTTTCTGTCCTCGTGCGGCCCCCCTCCTCCCTCCTCCCCCTCCTCGTCTCTCTCCTCGTATCCGTTCCCCTCTTACCGCTCCTCCCTCCTCCCCCTTTTCCCCTTCTCCTCCCTCCTCCTCCTCTATCGCCGTCCTCCTCCTCCTCCTCCTCCTTTCTCCTCCTCCTCTTCCTTCTCCTTCTCCTCCTCGTCCTCCTCCTTCTCCTTCTCCTTCTCCTCCTCCTCCTCCTCCTCCTCCTCCTCCTCCTCCTCCTCCTCCTCCTCCCCCTCCTCCTCCTCTTCTTCAGGAGGGGAACGGGCGGGTGGGGCGTGGGGGGGGTGCGTCATCGGGGGTGTCGTGCACTTCTGCCCGCCCCGCCTGGGAGCAGTTGGAGGCGCACGAGCCCTCCAGGGCTCGGTAGACGAGGCCCCTGGTCGCCAGGAACGCCCTCCGCGGCGGGCCCTCGACCACCACGAGGTAGAGCCGCAGCGTGAAGCGGCGCCCGCCGAGCAGCATGCAGTCCGAGACGTCCCGCTGGAGCAACCAGGCGCCCGCACCCGGGCCCGGCCGCAAGCAGGCCTGAGATGGATCGGCATCGCGGAATCGGGCGGGCCTCCTGTTCCGCCTCCTCCTCCTCCTCCTCCTCCTCCTCCTCGCCTTCCTCCTCCTCCCTCTCCTCGCCTTCCTTCCTCCTCTCCTCCTCCTACTCCTCCTCCTCCTCCTCCTCCTCCTCCTCCTCCCCCTCCCTCCCTCCCTCCCTCCTTCCCTCCCTGTCCCCCCTTCCCTCCCTCCCTGTGGTCGGCAACGGATCGGATCGCCAGCGACTCTTCCCCCGATCCAGTCGGAATCGGATCGCCGCCCCGGGCTCCCGACCTGCCCTGGCCGATGCTGGTGAGCAGCTGTTTTGCTTCGGACTCAGGCGAGTTGAGGTGCGTGGCATTTCGCTCCCCCTTCCCTCCCCGCCGCCTGTCCAAGCAGCACTCGGCCACCAAGGCGCCGAAGTGAACCCCGACTTGCGTGGAGTTCAGATTCCTCTGCGGGCCTCGCCGCGACCCCCCTCCTCCTCCACGCGAGCAACAAACTTGTTGGGGTCTGCGTAAAGACAAGGCAGCCTTTGGTCGGACCCATTCGGCCGCGTGGGGCTTTTTGGGCGCTGCATCATGTCGCCCGCACACGGATCGCGCCCTTCCCGCATGGCGGCTAATTCCTAAACTCTCATTCCATGCGTGCCCGCACACGGATGGTGCCCCTCCCGCATGGCGGCTAATTCCTAAACTCGCATGCCATGCGTGTCCGCACACGGATCGTGCCCGAGCATCCCAGGGGCGTCTGCCAGGGGGGGCGCTCTCGGAGCCATCGGTCGGGGCCCAAGTCCGACGGGCGCCGCGAGGCGCTCCACGGCCTGAGCTGTCCAGCACTGCCGCTGCAGGCTGGAGGCGGCCTGGGGGTCCGAACTGGCTGGGGCCCCAGAGGATCGGAAGCCAAATCCGCTGAACATCGGTCCACGGACCCCTCCAGGAGTCACTCTGGTAAGGTCCTTCACGCCGGCCCCGGGGCCCGAAGACAGCCCCAGGTGGCCGAACAAGGCAACAACAACGACTCGAACTCCCCACCTCGATCCCGTCCCCCCCTTCCGGCTGGTCGGCACCGGTGCTGGGCCACCTCACGCCCCCGGGGCGCAAGAGGCGGGGAGAAGCGAGCGGCGTCAAGGGGGTTCGTGGTAGACGGTGGCGGCAGCGGCGGCTGGGCGCAGCAGGGCGGCAAGGGGCCCGCCTGCGCGTCGGGCAGCCCGCGTGCAAGAGGCAGGGAGGAGGAGGAGGAGGAGGAGGAGGAGGAGGAGGAGGAGGAGGAGGAGGAGGAGGAGGAGGAGGAGGAGGAGGAGGAGGAGGAGGAGGAGGAGGGGAGGAGGGGGGAGGGGGGAGGGGGGCCCTGGCTGACGAACCGAACCGCATCGCGTCGCATCCTTACGGGCGGCCCTGGGCGAGAGCCGCCCGCCTCCACGGCGGCCGCCGCCTCGGCCGTGCCGAGCAGGCGGTTGGCGTGCCCGCCGAAGCCGTGCGCCGCCTGCCGGGAAGCCCGCTCGGCACCGCCACGCCCCAGGGCGAGGAGGGGGAGCGAGGAGGAGGGCGAGGAGGGGGAGGAGGAGGAGGGAGGGCGAGGAGGGAGAGCGAGGAGGGGGAGCGAGGAGGAGGGCGAGGAGGGGGAGGGGGAGGAGGGAGGGAGGGCGAGGTGGAGGGCGAGTAGGGGAGCACGAGGAGGAGGAGGGCGAGGAGGGAGGGCGAGGATGGGAGGGGCGAGGATGGGAGGGACGAGAGCTTTGGTGGGGGCATCGCTGAGGACCCTTTTCGGTTACCCAGACCCCTTCGTGGCATGAGCCAGTCGCGGTGGGACGTTTTTCGTTGTGTTCGGCCTCTGGGGGCCCTTATCGGCCCTCGGGTCCGTCAAAAAACGACGCGGGGCAAAACGCCGGTCCCACGGAATGGGTCCAGACCGCCGGGGGTACCGGTAATTATACCGCTGTTATCCACGTCTCTCCTCAAGACGCGTCCTGGCCAGGATGTCGAGGCGCACGTAGCGGCGGCGGCGAGAGCCCCCGAGGAGGCCCCCCAGAGGCGAAAACGGGGCAAGGGCAGCGGCATCGACACCCTCTCCCCCTCGAGCCTTCGAGGGGAGATGGGGGCAAGTCCGCTGACACTCCGTCCCCGGACCCCTCCCGGGGTAGAGCTGGGCCAGGTTTTCGAGCCGCGTCCGGCCGTGGCGACGAGGGAGCCTCTGCTCCCTCCTTTCTTCCCAGGCCGGGCCACGTGCTGGGCCACTCAGCTCGGGGGTGGGCAGAAACCGCTTTGGCAAGCCGCTCTGCAGCGAAAGCTGCCAAGGGCACCCCACGCGCGCACGGCACCGTACTCCGAGTGCAAGCCAGCGGCGTAGCAAATCGACGTCCAAAAAGAACCGAATGCGTCTGGCCCAGCGCACGCCGATCAGCGAAACCGACTGGGGACTGCACTGGCACACTCGAACGCCATCGAGCGATCCCGTGCGAATTTCCCCCGTGGACTTGTTCGGGGGGCGTGCTGTCAATGCCCGATCAGCTCCCCTGCTTGATGAGCAATGAACGCACCCCTAATCCTTTGGGAGGGCACCTTAGTTGCGAGGGCCAGGGCCATCAAAGATACGGGAGTCGTTTTTGCAGACGCCTCAGACGCCACCACACACACATGTTTCTAGGGATACCTCAGAAACCGTGGACCCGAGTCAGGCTACAAACTCATTGTGCCTTCCGTAGATGAAGAACGCGGATGTCTTGGATCCGCGCTGGACCCCCCCTCCCTGGCGCGCAGGGCGGCGCCCATTCTCTCTCCTTTGACTTCGGATTCGGCGGTGCATCATGCTCAGTGACCGCTGGCGCCAGCCTTCAGCCACCAGCCCGCGGGGCCCTCGGCGGCCGCCAGCGCGGCCCGCGCGGCGGCGGCCTCCCGCGGCAGCGCGTAGCCCTCCGGCCAGTAGCGCGCCCGGCGCCGGGGGTCCTCGGCCCGCTGCAGCAGCGCGTGCAGCGCGCACTTGTCCTCGGGGGCGGACCCAGGCTCCCTCGCGTGGTGAAAATCTCACGACGGGAAACCCGCTCGGCACCGCCACGCCCCAGGGCGAGGAGGGAGAGCGAGGAGGAGGGCGAGGAGGGGGAGGACGAGGCGAGTCAGGACGAGGTGGAGGGCGAGGAGGGGATCACGAGGAGGAGGAGGAGGGCGAGGAGGGAGGGCGAGGAGGAGGGCGAGGAGGGGAGGGGCGAGGAAGGGAGGGACGAGAGCTTAGGGGGGGGGGCTCATTGAGGACCCTTTTCGGTTACCCAGACCCCTTCGGGGCATGAGCCAGTCGCGGCGGGACTTTTTTCGCTGTGTTCGGCCTCTGGGGTCTTTATTGGGCCTCGGGGCCGTCAAACAAACGACGCAGGATGAAAAACCGGTCCCGGGGAAGGGGTCCAGACCTCTGGGGGTCGACGCTGTGAAAAAAGTCACGACGTCGGGGGTCTGGGGACGGAGGGAGGTAAAGTCGGACCCGTGGGTGGCGATGGCGATGCTGGTGTTGACGATGGCCCACGGTGCTGCCTCGTGGGGTGGCCACATTGAAGTTGATGGTGACGATGGTGGTGGTGGGGATGGTGGTGGCGATGCTGTGATGGTGGTAGTGGTGATGACGACGATGATGCTGATCTTCATGATGACCTTCGATGTTGCCTTGTGATGTGGCCATATGGATGTTGATGTTGACGAGGGTGGTGATGGTGATGGGTGCTGGAGGAGCCGCCTCGCTCCGAGAACATGCCGCGACTCTCTGGAACGATGCTTTCCGATCCCGGGCCCGCCCGGTCCTCCGCGAGGGCCCACTGGGGCGCATCCAGCGCCGAGCGGTTCGCGGCCGCGAGCCCCAGCAGCTCCTGAGGAAGCAAAGACACGCCCCGATACTGGAACAACGAACAGCGCCGTGAGCCTGAACTTGTGGGCGCTCCGCGCGGATTCCTCGGACCCGCGCTGGACCCCCCCTCCCTGGCGCGCGGAGCGCGCCAGGGGCGGCGCCGGAGGCGCCGCCGGGCGGGAACCAATCCAAGAAATCCGCGAGGAGCGCCAAGCGTTTATGCTTCCGCCGTCTTTGCTTCGGGGTGCACCGCTGCTCCCCGGACCCCTCCCGCGGGCCGCCCTCTGGGCCAGAAGCTCGAGGCGAGAGTCTCGCCTGCGGCGACGAGGGGCCTCCCGGGAGGCCCCCCCAGGACGCCACGCAGCGGTATCTCGCGGCGACGAGGGCCTCCCAGGAAGGAACCCAAGAGAGAGAGAGAGAGAGAGAGAGAGCGAGGAAGCGCCCCAGGGTCGCCGCCAGAGGCGGCGCTGGGGGCCTGAGGCCGCCCTGAACTACTCGTGGGCCTGTTGAGGCCAGCTGGGACTGGTTGGGGGGCCTGCTGATGCCAACTTGGACGGCCTGGGGGCGATGTCCGCGCGCAGCACGAAGCCTTACTATCGGGGGAGGAACAGGGTGCCGATGCCGATGTCGCTCCTCCTCCCCTCCTCCCCCTCCCCTTTGCTGCGAACTGATGGCATGAGAGTCGGCGTTCGACGCTGCCTCGCCCCCCACCCCAGGGGCCATTGCCTCTGAGCTCTGAGGCGGGGTGAACCGTGTGGCACGCTGTGTTTCAAGCGCAGGGCGCGCCCGGCAAGCGGAGGGAGGGGAGAGGGGGGAGACGACAGAACGGCGACGACGGAGGGCGAGGATCCAAAGAGAGGGGGGAGGGGGTGGGGCTGCAGGGCTGGCCGTGCGGCCGCTGGACGGCGCGCGCGCGGTTAGGCTGCCGCGGCCTCCCTGCCGCCAATGGGATGGCGCAGGGGCTCTTCCCACCGCCCGCAGGGACCCCATCGAGTGGACCCCCCGGTCCACCCCAACCCTCGCTCGCCGGGGGGCACCGGGGGCCCCCAGCGGGATCCCGGTGAGGGCAAGGAGGTGTGTGCCGTCCCTGGCGGCGGCCAACGGTGGTGGCGTCCGTGGTCCCTTCCCAGGCTTCCCATCCCAGTGAAGGGGCCCTGGGACACGCAAATACATGCACACAAATAAAAGGATTCCCCGTATTTTCGTATCTTTCTGGGTTTTTGTCTTCCCCCCCACTTCCCATATTTTCCGATATTTTCTGGGGAATCGATGATTAATTGTGTATGTGTGTTTCTTTCCCTCCTGACCCAAGCCCATCCCCCATCAGCGGCGGCGGTGGGCGAGCGCAGCCTGCGTGAGGAGTCGGGAGCGCGCGGGGCGAGACGCTTGGGTCGCTGCGTGGCGATGCGGCCGCCAGGTCGGCAAGGCAGGCCGAGGGGTTATAGGCAGTGGCTCGCGCAGCTCGGCTGCCTGGAAGCACTGCTGAGCGCGCGGCCGCCTGGCCATCGCCAGGCAAACCATCGGCAGCGGGCTGGATCCAGCCGACCCCGCCCGTAGACCGAGGCCGTCCCCATCGTTGGCTGAGGCTAGCGGGCAAGATGTGCAACAGCTGAGGCTCGCGGGGTCGCAGGCAAGAGGAGAGCAAGGGTGGTGAGGCTGCGCGCGGAGTCGCTGCAGGGCTGATGGAGCGGCCAGCAGGTGCGAAAGAGACGAGGACAAGGTTGGGGCTGCGCGCGAGTGCACAGGCAAAGCTGGAAGCGTGGCGGAGGGCTGGTAACCTGTGCAGCTCAGTTGCTTGGCAGCGCGGCTTGCCGCGGCCGCCCTGGCCAATGCCAAGGCAAGTGGCGGCTGTTTCCCCCATCCCCCCGAGCCCATAATACCCAGCCGCCCCCTCTAGCATGCTAAAGTGCGGGCGCTGCTGCTGAGCTCGACGGCAATGGGCGGCGGTGGCTGCCGCAGTAAAAGGAACATCGGAAAACGTGAGCGGGAAAATCGGCTACGAGAAGATTGTAGTGATGGGCCTGCGGCTGCGAGCCCTCTGCCCAACGCTGGGATCGGCAGACGGTGGCTGTGTGCCGCTGACGTCCGGCGGCCCTTGCCTTGGCGGCCGACGGCGCGTCCTTTTTGTTTTGGTCCTTCGTGTCGCGTGCCTCCTGGGCCCCACGGCGATGGGGTTAAGATGACACCGAGGAGACGCGCGAGAGGACTCCATCAAATGGCGCTGGTCCTTCCCGTTGTGGGCGAGAAATGTGGCGGCAATGTTTGAAGCCCTGTGCAACCACTAACCCGCAAATGGCACGTCGGATGACCTTGCGTCCGCGAAAATGCCCATACGTCGGATGAGTAGCATGGTTTGGGTGAGGAAGCCACGGCGGGCTTTGGAGCCCTGTCTGACCGTGGACCCACTACGTAGCATAGCGCCCTCCATGACGTTGTAGTCGCCGCCGCATGATGCCATATGCGGCACGTCGTATAAACTCTCCTGTGGGTGAGAAATCCACGGCGGGTTTCCACGGCGGGTTTTTGGAACCCTGTATCTCAGTGGGCCTACTACAACTTATGTTCATGGTGTATGTTGTAGCCGGTGCCGCATGCGAACCGTGGAGCAACACATGCCGTCACTCGCCCCGGGAGAAGAGAGACCGTCAAGCTGGAGCGG